CACCCCTGCTTCTCAGAACGCGCGGGCCTTACCTGCAGACGTAAGGCCGGCGCCTTCTAAGAAGCAGCCTCCCTCGAGGAAGCCTTCCCCCCTCCTCCTACCCAAATGTGCGCGCCGCGAAGTGATGCTGAGCTGGCCGCCGGTGCCCGCGACCCGTCCAGGCCCCGGCGGGGGCCTGGGCGGGCCAAGGGAGGGCGCCTGGCGGCCAGAGAGGAAGCATGGCACAGCAGGGGCGTCCACGCCTCCGGCGGCCCCCGTCGGTGACGCCGGGCCTGGGCGCGGGTGGTCTTCGGGATCCCACAGAGGGTGTATGTGTGTGCTCGAGGATGGTGATTCTGACGCGCCGTTGACGGCAACACCACTTGGCCAGCGCGGCTTTTGTTTCTTTTTTTTTTTTTTTCTTTTTTTTTTTTTTTTTTTTTTTTTTTTTTTTTTTTCTTTTTTTTTTTTTTTTTTTTTTTTTTTTCTTTTTTTTTTTTTTTTTTTTTTTCCGTTTTCCTCAGCCTTTTTTTTTATTTTTTTTTTTTTTTTCTCCCTTTTTCTTTTTTTTTATTGTTTTTTCATTTTTTATTTTTTTTTTTTTTTTTTTTTTTCTTTTTTTGTTTATTTTTTTTTTTTTTTTTTTTTTCGGGGCTCTTTCGTGTTTTTTTTTTTTCTTGTCAAGGCGTACCTTTTCCCTGTGGCAGGCTTCTTCGGCATCGCCTGCACCACGCCCCTCGGGCCGCCTGAGGCCCCGCCCGCCTGCCGCTTTTTTTTTTTTTTTTTCCTTTTTCTGTCTCCCCAATCAGTGCTTTGCGCGGCCCGCCTAGCTCTTAACCGGAAGAGGCTCGCTCTCGACCCGCAGACCAAAAAAGTGTGTGTGCCCCATGTGTGTGTGTGTGTGTGTGTGTGTGCGTTCGATGGGTTTTTGCACCGAACTGCCCAAACAGATGCCCCCTAGCCGCTTGCAGCTCCCGATAGTTGCCGATGGCTGGGGCCTGCGGGGGGCATCTGTTTGCGGCAGCTCGGTCGGTGCACTATCGGGTCGAACTCATGCCTCCCCTCAGGGTCGCCCGCCCCCCCCTTTGGTGGATCCCGAGGTTTGTGCAGTCCTGGCGCAAAGGCACCTTTTTCCGTCGCAGCGCGGCAGAGGTGATCCGCACGCGCGTTCTCGTAGCATGGGCCACACGGCGTACTAGATGCCCGGCGACACGAGCGGGGGAAGGAGAAGGAGGGCGGCCGCGGAACGCAGGAGGGTGAGGAGGGCGCTCACCTCACGAAGAGCTCTTGCAGGAGTGGCCGAGGCGGCCTTGGCGCAAAGGCACACGCACATTTTTTTTGGGGGGGGGCGTCGCGGCCCCGCGCACATCGACAGGACGGAGAGCACACATACACACACACACACACTCACACAACCTGCTAGGGAGGAGCAACAGTGGGCGACCGGAGAGGGGCAGGACAACCCGACCCATTCATACAAGACATGACGCAGCGCGGTGGCGGTATTGTGCTATGCTTACGTGCGTGGTGCCGCGTGCGCATGAAGGCCATCTGTGCGCCGAAACGTGTCACTATGGCAGCGCATCCCTTGTACTCGGGTAGTCGTGCCGATGGTCGCAATGGTCCTAACACTGTTATGGTTGTGTTTGGGTGCCAGCGTGTTGCTCGTGATTGGCTCTTCCGACCCCTGCGTTGCACCCTTCCCCCGGCGCCTCTGACCCGCGCCGCAGATCGTGGCCACCTTCGAGGAGCTTTTAGGGACAGTCGAGGCGGGTGGGGTGGGCAGGATGGCGGTTGCCATGCTGGCCAGGGCGGCCGTGAGACCAGCGGTCAGGGGGCAGGAGGTGACCAGATCTGCTCGCTTGGCACTTGCCTATCTTTGTGTTGACCAGCCTCCGAGCCTTGGGAAGTACGTCGGACACGAACCCACGAGCCCGAGCCACGAGTCCAGGAACTGGGCTCGCGAGCCCAGAAAGCGCGCTTGGGAACAAATGAGTGAGAAAGGAATTCTGGGAACAGGCAAGATGAGGAGGAGAAGGATGATAAGTGTAAACCCAAGACGCATCAAGGATGTTGCAACAAACTCTCCCGTCAAGCTCCCTCTTCATATGTGGGTCCCGACACGCATTTTTTTCATTGCGGGAAGTGCCACACTGGAAGACAGCCGTCTGTGGCAGCAGCAAGACCCCGATATGCTTTTTGGCTTGAGCCACATGAATACGGAACGCCTCTCCCACATGCTAAACCTATACACTGAAAACTGGAGCACTTCCACATGCCCCAAACTTTCTAGTAGGTTTAGCCGCCCTCTTGTGGTCGGCGTTCCTCCCCGGGTGAAACCACAAACTAGTCAGGTGAAAACGTCGGCCTATTGGAACTGACTGCTACAGCAAGAGACGGCCGGCGCTGAGGAGGAGGTTGGGGGAGAGAGGTGGAGGGAGGAGAAACCAACACCACCACCACCACCTGTCCAGGGACCTGGGACTCGAGTACTGTACTCTCTCCAGGAGGTCAGACTGCTGGGATTCTTGAACTCCTTCTTGGATGCTGCCTGGGATCGGCACTTCAGACCTGGATCTGCCCTACGACGCTCCACTTCCGAACTCTCATCGATCAACACCAACCGGCCACTGATCATGAGGTCGAATAAGGCTGCATTACATTTCCCCACGTCATCTTTCGTGAGGGCGTCCACGGGCATGCGCCCGTGTGGTATCCATCTGACATGTCCTCTGGCCCGTTCTAAAGCCTCGCAGATGATTGCAAGGTCGATTGCCGTTCTCCTATCCTTGGCGCTCGCGTTGCCCTCCTTGAGCATTGTGTCGTAGATTGATTTGGCATCAACTACGTGCACCTGGTCTTCCCTGGACCCGAGGCGGCAATCCCTACGCAGCACTGTCGTGAAAGGTCCGGAGGCACGGTGGTGATCTCGGACAGTCACGTCACGAAAGGACACGTCACGGTACATGATCTGGAGATACTCCACTTCCGCCACGGCGGAGGACAGGGCCTGCGTCTCGCCGGCGAGGGTGGAAGGGACCTTCCGCCTGAGCTTTGAGCTCCTCCACCCAAGGATGGAGGCTCTCACGGAGTGGTTCTCGATGATACTCTTGTCGCATGCCAAAACCATCCAGGCCCCCTGAGTGGGATCCTCAGGGAGGCCTTTCTCATCAAGAAGATCCTCCAGAGCTCCTACGCCTCCGGCGTCCGAAAAGGATACAAAGGCCTTATGTTCCGGATCAAGCTTCCATATGATTAAACCCCGTGACGCTGACGATCTGAGATGTCTCACTAACTTGTTTGCCAGAGTAATATCCCCAGTCGTAGGAGCTTTCAGTCTGCTGGCTAAGATACTGGCTACTCCGGCTGCCTCTGGTCGTGCTTCTCTGCCAATCCAGTTAAACTTGTAAACAAGCGAGCGCAAGTCTTTAAACTCCTGAGACTCCAGTGGGGATCTGCGGTCAGTCAACCGGCCCTTGGCTACGGAGATGGGTCTGATCTCTTCCAAGATGTATTTCTCCATATCGATGGTTGCTCGCCGAGGTCCCATAGTAATCCGGCGGCCCGCAAAATCCACGGCTCCGGCCTGGCAGTCACGGTACTTACCAAATTTAAAGCGAGATTCCAGGATCTGACGCAACCACACACGGGAGGCCTCTGTGGCACTCCCGATGAGGAAGTCGTCTACTTCTAGCAACATCATATTCAGAATCTCGCCGGACTCGCCGTATCGGACCCACCAGCACGGTTCCAGAAGAGACCGACTGAAGCCGTGCTGTTCCAAGAAGGCTACCACCGTACGTCGCCAGGCTACCGGAGCATCGTCCAGCCCGTACACGTTGACACGGAGTCGGATGAGTGAGCCGTCCGGGAGGTTCACCCCCTCGCACGGCTCCACGTAGATTTCCCCCTGTGAGCGTACCATCTGGTCTGACTGGCAGAATGCGTTCTTGACATCGGCGATGTCTGCGAGCATGCTGAAGTTCATCGCAATCTGAAGGAAGAGCATGATACTGGAGGTCTGGGGAGTGGGGGCGTACACTTGAAGGGATCCTGAGTCCGGGTCTTTGTGTCCATGGACACACCAACGAGATTTTGCCACCGGCCTCTCGTTGGTTCCCTCCACCGGCTTCCATCGTCGGACCATCCTGCTGGATATGATCCGATCGGGAAACGCCTTCCGCACAGCCTCCGCCTTGGCCGGAGAGAGGACCTCGACCGCCTTGGTCCCCATCATGGCCTGCCATTCTTTATCATCTGACACTCGAAACTCCTCTCGCTGGGCCGGAGTGAGGTTCTTCAGAGAGACCTCGCTGCCTCGATTCGTCGCGAAAGTGCCGCCGTCCTCGAACGCCGCTCCCGTCCAGCTCTGCTGCTGCTCCGCCTCCCTGGGCCTGGCCTGGACACCGTCACCTTGACCACCCACCGGGAGGATGAGGAAGTCCCCCTCTCCCTCGCTTCCCCGGGCGGTCCTCGGGGGGGACCGTGACTTCGGTCTTCCTGACTCGAACCCGCGCACCAGCTCGTGCACCGAGCGCTGCGGTTCTCGTCCGCTGACCACCCGACCCCTCTCGGAGGAAGGAGGACGGGAGGAGGAGGAGCCAGGAGGAAGAGGAGGGACGGGAGGAGACGTGACGAGAGGAGGGAGACCGGGAGGGGGGTCCACCCTCGGCCGCTTGGAATCGGGCGGCTCGGAGCTCGCCCGAGGTGGCCCGGCTGGAGGCCGCCTGAAGCAGGCTGGGACGTCGCTGGGCTGCGCCAGCCGTCCACGAGCCTTCGGAACCTCGCTCGCGGCTCGCTGCCGCTCCTCCGCCCCAGGAGCAGGAGCGGGAAGGGGAGCCGGAGGAGGAGAGGAGGGGAGCAGAGGCCGAGGAGACGGGGCAGGGGGAGGCAAAGAGGGAGGAAGCTCCGAGGTCTGCCTCGAGGTTCCCGGAGTCCCCGAGCTCTCAACCCGCAGCCCGCGGGCCCCATCCCCAGAGCTGGAAGGAGGTCTCGTCGCCTCCGAGCCGGCCTGAGCCTCCACTGAGCTTGCCTCGGACTGAGGACCTCCCCCAGGCCCAACCCCAGGGAGGCCTCTCGGCGCTGGCGGAGGCCCCAGGATCGAAGGAGCTGGCCCCTCCGGGGCCCTGGGAGGGTCGTCCCGTGGTTCCGGAGCCTGACGCCCAGAGACCTGAGGGGCCGAGTCCAGCTCCTGTCTCGCCGCCTCGTCCCAGGCGTCGTCTGGTGGGGGCCCTTCCCTTTGGACGTCGACGGCGGTGGCCCTCCGGGTGCCTGATTGCCGGAGGAGCTCCTGCCACTGGGGGGAACTGGCGATCTGAACGCCATACTCCTCATCAGCGCTGGCCAGTCGGACCTGCTCCGTGGAGCACTTCCACAGGCGGGCACGCATGGCAACCCACACCGTTCCACCCTCCGCCAGGACGACGACTCCCGGCCCCGTCCAGCCGTCCCGTCGTCGCCCGAGCGCGTCGGCCCTGGAGGTGGTCCGCGCCATGTGGCGCCACACGTACACCCACTGGCCTGGAGTGAAACACCGGAGGGCGGGGGTCCTGGCCCGGGACGCCCGGCTGATTTTCTCCCTGGAGGTGGCCTCCATCGCCAGTCGCCTGGCGGCTGACCGAACGGCCTGGGCCCTTGAAAACTCGGCGCCTGCGGCGTCCTGCTCGCAGGCAGGTCTGACCAGATCCTGCCATCCTGGGAGCCCGTGGGAGTCATCGGAGAGGAGGTCGTGAGGGAGCCGGGGGTTCTCCCCGAAGACCAGCTGGAGAGGGGAGAAGCCTCCCCGGTGCCAATACCTGTTCTTGTGTGCCGTCAGCTCGTACACCAGAGTGTCGAGCTCCTCTAGGTCTGACACCACCCCCGCACCGGAGTCCAGCTCAAGTCGCACGCGGTCCTTGATCCATCCCCCGTGACGTTCCACCCTCCCATTCTGCCATGGGGAGTCTGCGTCGCAGACGTGGTGCTTCACCCCCCACTGCTCGAGACCTCTCGCAAACCTGGCGCCGAACTCCGAACCCCCGTCGGACAGCAGGAGATGAGGGGCCCCCAGGGGCCTCACCCAGCACATCACGAAGGCCGCCCAAACGGTGGCCGCTCGAGCGTCAGCGAGCCTCGCGCACACTTGCAGATTGGAGCCGTGGTCCACCACATTGAGGAAAGGATGAGAGGACCCCGCAAAGTCGAGGTAGAACAAGTCACCCCCCACAATGTGGTTAAATCGAAACGTCCGGGGGAGGGCCACGCGATGTTGATTTCCGGACCGCCTCTTTTCCTCGCACTCCGAACACTTGAAATGGTCCCGGACCCACCGCACCAAGTGCGGCTTGACTCCTCCCGCCCTCAGCACACGACAAAACTTTCTCACCTCAGGGTGTCCCATGTTAACGTGCAGCTTGAACAGGAGACGCTTGTCACTCTCTTCTGGGTCCGGATCCGCTCTGGTGCCCTCTGGGCTCGGACGAGGAATCCTCGTCTCTTGCTCGTCGCCGCTGTCCCCACTGTCTTCTTCCTCCGGGACTTCCGCGATCGGGGACAGCCGCGGACCTTCCGCCTCTTCCGCCGGACAGACGAGCTCCCCGAGCTGGGCCCACGTGGGCCGGGCCTTGGTGTTGGCCCCGCTCCACTGCTCGGTCACAGCCCTGGCCACAGCCCTCACAAACTTGATGGCATATCTGGCTGCTCGAGACGTCTGGTGACTCCCCTCGAGGATGGCGTGACGATGGTCCCCAGGGCACAGCTTCCCATCGAGGACCCTAAGCAGCCCCGGATG